CCTCTCTCTCTCTCTCTCTCTCTCTCTCTCTCTCTCTCTCTCTCTCTCTCTCTCTCTCTCTCTCTCCTAGTACAGTCGAATTTGTCTATGACGGCCGTAAATGGTTATAGAGAAAATTGTCGTCTTAGAAAGGTGATTGTCTTATACAGTGCCATTATAATCTTTAAAAGTATGTAAAGAAGGAAATGTTGAAAGTTTCCGTACCCCACGCCACACGTTGAAGGTCTAATGCTTGCTTTTCTGCATCAAAAGGTGTGACAGTACAAAAGAAGGTTACCAAGCAAAACATTCAAGGTTTTAGCCATAGTAATCTCGGACCATCAAAAATAAAGGATTGATTCAGCATTTTTTAAAACAATGGTATCTATCATCAAGATAGAAGCCTAATATTTGGCCTGGTGATTACTGTTAGTAGGTAGAATGACGTTAGAGAGCAACATTTGAATTTTCTGTGGTAACCTGTGAGCTTTACAGTCCTTCTTGTGCACTACATTCTGGTCACCAATATTTTAAGATTTTGTACAATAAAAAAGGCCTAAAACTAAAAATGTGTACCATAAACAGCAACAATGCTTCTGTAAGGTGGTAGATATAATGTGTATAAAAGATTATGTGAAAATTTGAATCAATTCTGACAGTAACTTTCTGAGATTTACTCAAAATAGTGTTGCAACCTGGTCAGATAAACAATTCTGAGAAAACTGCAAAGAAAGATAATTTTTTGTGAAGATTTACCTACATTGCTACCTCTCTCAAACGCATGGTCCAGTTATTTATAGGTTTGAAAAAGAAATTAGGATTCTAAAGATGGATTCTTGATAGAGATATCTCTAAAGATATTCCAAAATCCGAAAAGAAGGATATTCTTTCAATATTTTTACTGATCTGAGAAGTGGATCCTCTGAATATGTGATCTATTTGTATTGCTAGTCTGGAAAACGTTTACCATAACTGAACTAAAATCATGTCTTCCTGTCTGTCCATCAGTTCGTTTATCTATTCGTCAACTCGTTTGTCTCTCTTTCTATTTGTCTTTATCACCTTTATCATCTCCTAGATGGTCGGACGTA